AGTCTGTCTTCTGGTCAGACAGTATGATAGTCTTATGGTACCTGCAACAAGAAGACAAAAGGTATCAGACCTACGTAGCAAATAGAGTCGCTGCTATTCAAGAGCACACCACTTCAAGCCAGTGCAGGTACGCCAATTCAGCTTCGAATCCGGCCGATGATGCCTCCCGTGGTATGGCAGCAGAGGACGTCGTAACCAACTCAAGATGGATCAATGGCCCGCCTTTCCTGTAGAAGGAGAAAAGCCGAATGGCCAACACAACCAGAGTTCAATTGCTCAACACTGGAAGATTCAGTCGAAGTCAAACCAAACCATAAGGTCTACGCTGTTGCTGCAGATGAGCCAGATCCCATTGATCTACTTATACAGCGGCATTCTTCATGGTATGCCCTTAAGAAGTCAGTTGCTTGGCTCCTTCGCTTCAAGCAATATCTGAAAACCAAGAAACCTACGATTGGACAGTTAACCGTGAACGAATTGAAGGTTGCTGCTACAGCCATTATTACTCATGTGCAAGGACAAACGTTTGGAAGGCGCAAGGATAACTCGTTGCAGAAGCTGTCTCCATTTCTTGATGATGACGGCACATGGCGGGTAGGAGGAAGGCTCAACAAGGCTGAACTACGTTTCCAAACAAAACACCCTTTGATATTACCTGCAAATCACCACCTCACCGATCTCATCGTTTGGCATTACCATGCAAAGACTGGTCATGCTGGCACAGAACGCGTCCTCGCCGAAGCAAGACAGATGTTCTGGATTGTGAAGGGTAGAGCGACGGTYAGAAGAGTTMTATCTAAATGCAYCACTTKCAAGAAAYTGAGAGCACAACCTGTGTCTCAGTTCATGGGAGATCTACCAARGGATCGTGTAACGCCTAACGAAGCGCCCTTTACACGTGTAGGGGTGGACTACTTTGGCCCGTTTCTTGTGAAACGAGGYAGAAGTGAACTCAAACGATAYGGATGCATCTTCACTTGTCTYACGACAAGRKCTRTYCATCTTGAAGTTAGYCATACACTTGACACCGATTCCTTCATTAACGCGCTTCAGAGATTCATTGCCCGTCGYGGGGAGCCTGTTGAAATCCGTTCGGACAACGGAACTAACTTCACCGGTGCTCGACTAGAGCTGCAACGAGCCCTTGAGCAGTGGAATCAGGCTCAAATTGATGATTTTCTTCGTAAAAGAGAGATTCAGTGGATTTTCAACCCTCCAGGTGCCTCCCATATGGGCGGTGCCTGGGAAAGACAAATCCGTACCGTACGTTCAGTGCTGAGAGGTCTACTGGCTCTACAGGTCTTAGATGACGAAGCTCTGGCAACCTTGATGTGCATCGTTGAAGGTATCGTCAATGGACGTCCCATCACCAGGATCTCAGAAGACCCGAAGGATCTAACGCCCCTTACACCGAATCATCTTCTCTTGCTTCGTTCGGGCCCAACCCTTCCATCAGGAGTGTTCGTGAAACAAGATCTTTACAGAAGACGCTGGCGTCAAGTGCAATACATGGCGGACGTCTTTTGGAAGCGCTGGCTCAGCGAATATTTACCGACGCTCCAAGAACGCCAGAAGTGGCTGAAGCCCAAGCGTAACCTCAARGTYGGTGATTTAGTGTTGGTGAAGCATGACAACACAGCACGTCAACGTTGGCCCCTTGGACTCATCGTCAACACCTATCCTGGAGCAGATACCCTTGTGCGATCCGTCCAAGTAAAGACCCAATCTGGAGTGTACGATCGCCCAGTCGACAAGATTTGCTTACTAGAGGGAGATATGCCGCTTAATGAACATTGAACACTTGAAGATATTCAGCCTTTTTTGATCTACCTAAATGCGTTTTTTCTAGGCAACGCATTGGGGGCGGGATGTAACGGCTGAAAACTGTTTACTTGTTACTACTTAGTTATTGTTATTTCGCGGTCAGCGGTTTTTCGGTAAAACGTAGAGGTTTTCGTTCTGGGGACTCAGCAATTTTTCGCCACGTGCAAGAGTCTACATGTTATTTCGATATTTACCTGTATTTTTAAACCTGTATTTAGTTCCTTTTCAAGTCATAATCGCCCAGTAGTGTAAGTAATCCTGTTATGCCTTTTTTCTGTTTGTATTTGTCGTTTTAGTCAATTTGTAAGTCTTTGTTTTCTTTTGTGTCTAGTTCGAACCGCTAGTCGACCGCTAGTCGTTGAAAGGACAATTGAAGTCTAATAAATAATTAGCGAGTACGAAAACTGGGAGTGCATATACCTCTAGCGCCTAACAGTGCGTTATATTAATAATAAAATGCATTTTTTTCAGGATTTCAATGATCTTTATTCGTACCTACTTCAGTAAAAAAGACCACGTCCTGGGTTAATTTATTTACATCCCTTGCTGGAAAACTTCAAGGTTACAGCAAGAATTCTGTTACACCATACATGCACGCAATGGTGTATCATGTCCCAAAATTTATGAAGCTTCGCAGTGGGATAGAGAAATTTGCTGGACAAGGTAAAAAAGAACCCATGCTGGAGTAAATTTAAATTTATTTGTAGTTCATGCTTTTATTGAATGCTAGTTGTTTGTGTTCCATATATATGATATAATTGCTAATGCCATCAATAATTATGATAATTATTTAAATAGGTGTAGAAAAGCTAAATGATGATTGCAGAATAATACATTTATATAAATGTAACAAATGAGATGCCGCCAAAGATGTTTTTCAAAGTTGCCAAAAGACTGGAGATCTTGAGCTCTTGACATAGAGTGCCAACCCCGAGCATACAAAAAGAAATCTGATGACTACCGGTCAAATACTATTGATAGTAGATCTAAGCGTTACAGGATTTGCAATGAGGAAGAACAGCAAAGTTAAAAAACGCCCAACATCTAGTTCGAAGTGGACATAGATAGGGGCTAAGCTCTTGCCTTGCAGAAATGAAACAGCACAATAAAAATCACGGCTTGAGAACCATCCTTTCATCGTCTGGTTGGTTTTTGAGGATTACTACAGGACATGTACAATAGATAAATATGAGAGTTCACTCTAACCTGAATTTTTTGGGTAATGCATTTTAAAATTTTAAAATTTTGTAACTATACTATCATTACTTAATGACTTTTTACTAATTTTAATAGCTATGAAATAATGCATATATCTCCTAATCAATAATAACAATAATGTTCTAGGGGCATCCTCAAAGCTCGATGCTCTTACAAAAGAAATAAATTAGCAATAAACAATCAAATTATACTGTTATCTATGGCGAGCCAAACATGACAAAAGTGTATTGAATTCAAAATCACCTAATGAAAAATAAAAATCGCTTAATGAAATGGAGAATTATTATATGAAAATAAAATCAAATACATATGAAAATAAAATCACTAACTACTAAAAAAGAGATGTAGTATGTGAGAAAGAAAATTCACCTTCTGAAATTAGATTCACTTGGTGAAAAAAAAATTACTCGGTGAGAATATAAATTTAGTATGTGAAAATAGATTCACTTGGTRAAAARAAAATCACATAGTGAAAATATCGATTAGTATTTAAAAATATCGATTGAAATTTGTTTSAGCCTCCGAATTCATAACCAGCGGCATTCGTTCCTTCCTCGTGGTGTTTTTCAAGATGGCGGATAGAGATGGCCTCAAAGACCTTATCAAAACAGTTCAAGCATTAACTGAAAAGATCGACTCAAGTTCACGCCAACTGGGTATAGAAGACGAAGTATCCAAAGTGTTTAAGAGAAATGATTCAAATAAGACAACTGGTAACTCTTCCAGCGAGAATTCCCGTCCATTGAGCAGCAGCACTTTGGCCAGCACGAGTACTACCACTGGTTTCTCGGGTTTCTCCAGCACCTCCCGATTTAGAAGACTCAWGAACATGAGGAAGATCGGCAATAATATCACAAAAAAGTGTGACAAGCGAAAGAGTGGTCCATTTATGTGCGACGTTATTCTTCTTGCTGGACCAAACATGACAAGTGTTCCAAAGCAAGGAACCAAGTTAKCTCTAATTGAACAAGGACACATACTGTCGGCAGTCCAATTCGACAAGAACATGACAGAAATACAAGTTCAGTCTACTATAATTGAAGCATTCGGCGATAAACTGATTTGATCATCACGTGTACTACAACCTTGAAAATGGCTGCTTAAGCCGAAAGCTCGGTTAAAAAATAAATCAATTTTGCACAGAAGAATTAACAAGTATCAATAATAATATGCCTGTGTACGACGAAATTCTTAACTTGGTATTAAAGATCTTTCTTTAGGGTTGAGATCAGGAGATCGTGGAGGAATTGCATGAATTTCAGTCTCGATTTTTTCTATTTCACACAATGCTCTATGGCTGTTTTGACAGGGGTCATTATCCATTACAGTCTTAATGAGTTATGCTTCGGCCCTGCTAGACCAAACATTAATTTCATACGATCGCGAACGAATTGCGAGAAATAAGCACCGTTCATGTGTTCATAGTCGTCTGTCACGATAACGCCTTTACCATAAGCAATAACCACCATCATGTGAACTCGACGTCCTCCGGCTAAAGACTTATTCCCTTTGGCTGTGATAGAGAGACCTTCTCCTTCTTTGCGCCACACCCTTCCCTTAGGATTTGTAGATTCTTGAAAGGGATGATATTTGTGTACAAACGAGACTGCACCAAGGTAAAATCCAATATGATTTATATAAAAGCTTGGATACTTAATAGCTTTAGCATAGCACGAGCATATTGCAATCTCTTCGTCTTGTTAAAATCTGATAGCAAACCCTTCCTCCTAGTAATCAGATATTGTATCCCAGGCTATTCAAATACCTGGTGAATGTACGTTTATCAGCCTCGTCACCTGCATGTTTTACGACATCCATAGCAGTAAAATTCACATTGTTCTGCGTTAGGTCTTTAACAGCCCTATCCAGCTGACGTACATCACAATCTGACAGCTTTCTCTTGCGACCACGATGTTTCGTTTCCGCTGCTTTTGGGTATAAAATTCTCACTTTATCCTTTACTAAACGATGTGCAGATGTCTTGGAGATGTTATACTTCTGGCGTATGCTTCGGAAAGTCCTGTGATGGCATTCTCTTTTTAGTATAGCTGCGCATTTACGCGCATTATTGATACCGTAGAACCATGCTTGCAGTGAAAATTTTCAAAATTTTCACTATGACGTCATCGCTTTATTACCGCGAGCAATTATCTATCGTTATTTTTCGGATTGCGTGACATACAAGTAATACTTTTGCGTTATATGATTTTCAGTCATTTTCACTTTCATTTTCACTTTTTTTCATTTTCACTCGTGTCTTATTTAAAATCGAAATTCAGACAATGGGAAACAATTCTCATGGGACACTACGATTATTTTGTAAAATTTACATAATTTCCCTGACCAATAAACCCCCTGCCCCCTATCCCCCCTTGCCCCCTATTCAATGTTGGAAGATGTCCTTGTTCAATACCCATTCAAAAATTGATCTCACATCAAACCAACATTGAATAAGGGGTGGTTTGAGGGGGAGGTTTACAATATATTCTCTGAAAGGTACAAAAATATTAAGCTTGTCCCTAATAAAAATGACCACGATTGAAGTTAGATCAAACTTTACTATAATTAAGCTCAGGGGGCCCCTGGAAATATGTATCTGAAAAAAAAAACAGATACCTTCCTTCGGCCCCTAGATATTTCATTAAAAGTGACTGCTTTGGAAATAACCCTAGAATCAACCATGTATTTTAGTGACTGATTTTAAGCTAGAATTTCTGTGAATTGTGAAAAGCTTTCAAGAGACTAAAACAATGACCTGTTTAAGTAATAATGGGGGTTTAATACTGGCCATTAAAACTTTAGTCTTTTCTATTATTAGAACGATTTCACATAACGATACAAAAAATGCAAATAGGTTTAAGGCTTTTATGCAAATTTATTAACTGTAAAATGAATTCACGTGATGATGCAATACAGACTCTATTCTCTCACTTATTGCAGCTTTTTTGCTATTTATATTATCATTACATCACAACAAAACACGAACATTTCATTTTCCGAGCAGACTTGACATGCTTCAGTCTTTGTGTCAAACTTTGCTATAATTTTTATCGTAGCACATGCAGAACTGTACCATGCAGCATCTAGTACAAGCTTAGCTTCAAATATTTTCAAAAAGGTTGACACCTCTTTCGGCCAAAAATACTACAAGATCAATGGCAGGAGGGAGTAACCACCTAGGGTGTCTCTTGCGTGTGAACCACTTTTTTGAGAAAGCCGAGCAAAGGCTGGCCAACAAAAAGTCAAGTCCGTAATTATATTTGGACTCAATAAAAACTGTTTTGTTTTGCTCGTGATGAATAACAATAAAATCTAATTATAAGATAGGAAACAATGATGTAATAAGTGAGAAAATGAAGCATGTATTGCATCATCACATGATTTTATTTTACAGTCAATAAAATTTGCATAAGATAAACCTATTTGCATTTTTTGTATCGTTATATGAAATCGTTCTATTGAGGAAGCTTAGGTCTAAAGTCTTTGCTGCAGACATTACCCAATAACTGCTGAGGACATTACCTTTTTGGGATATTATAGAATTATAGCAAATAATCAGGAATAAATATAGAATGTTAAAAAAGTATTTAATAGCTTCTTAATGCTTAAAACAGTCATTTAAGGTATTAATTAAAACAAAGAAATAAAAACAGCATTGATTCATGAAAAGTTGAAAGTCGCTGATTAAATTTTAGCTTATAATATTAATAACACATTTTGGTCAGTGGCAATACACATGAAAGCATGCTCAGTAT